TTCAGCCTCGGTACAGCATAGTGATGACCGACTTGCACTCAGAACCACTACCGAACGCCCAGATCTCTTGCTTGGGAGACTTTTGAGAGTACTGCATCTAATACGAGACCCTTGGGCGTTTTTGAATTTTACTTGGCCGACATTTTCTTGAGGAAGATTTCACGGCTCAGAAAAATAGACTGGGAAAATGTAAAAAGTCGTTGATAGGAAATTAAGAGCAGCGCTCGAAAGAGCAACAAGAAAAGTGTTACGACCAATCTACACCCTCGAAATAAATTTATCACAGTGGAGGAGATTTCTTCCGTCAAAACATCCCATGGGTTCCCCTCGGTGGCTGCCCCTAATCTACGTTACCGCACTTTATGAAGGTAGATGACTGACCGTTCCCTTTCCTTGCGGATGTTCTCTCGAATTTGCCTTCGACGAACTTCTAGAGGATCCTCAGGTTCTGCAACTGGCGCAACTGGCTCTTCCACTACTGGAATCGGAGGGATTCGTTCGACATCGTTAACAACAGCCGCCAATGCCGCAGTGATTTCTTCATTCTGGAAGTTTTTCAAGTGAACCGAGTTTTACTGAAAGAGTGGATGAGACCACAGGGATATCTACTTTATGGAATTCCAATTCGGGAGAGAACTCACGTGCTTTTCTTCTTCAGCACCGACTTGGATACCAGCTTTGAGCGCCGCTTTCCTCAGCTCTTCTGCTTCCCGTTGCTTTTTCACAATCTCGGCACGATTAGCAGAGACTAAAAAAAAGTCGCTCACCTAATATGCTCAATATTACTGGGCTGTACAGGCCATTTATTACAAACCGGTGATATTCGTAACTTGTTGTAATTGATAGTAAATAGCAATAAGTGATAAGTTGCTCGCTCAAGTAATATTAAGGATTTTTCCCGGGAATTAGAAAATCAAATCGAACCAAATAAGTAAATGAATCATAGAAAAAATAGAGCTTATTATGGAAAAAACAAAAATAAATAAAAACTAAAAAATAAATAAAATAAAATAAATAAAAAGAGTTCAGGTTTCTTATCATCGTGATCACAACCAGCACCAAAACCAGGACACTTACTTCTGCTACCGTTCTAGTTACCTGCACCACAAAACCTAGCGCCCAGTTTAACCTGACCAGAACTGGTAAAGTACTTACGTAGCTGTCTCATGCCAGAGCTCTCCTCGCTCGAGAAACACCGAAGGCATTGCAGTACTTCTTCAAGGGATCCCGTAAGAACCGTAGTATCTGCTGGTGACCTACGACGTCCAGAGGACCACGTCAGTCGCTGGATCGGACCCGACGACTATCACGTGATGAGCTCCCCCACATGATTATTGATGCCTTAGCGGTCATTAGATCTTAGCAGCGCTGTCCCAATCTGCGATCAGCTGCACTTCATCAAACTCCAAGCCCTTCCCTTCAACTCACGATTCAAGAAACCCAAAGAAATGCTCTAATGACCTTCATCGCACACCCCCACATGAATATCGAACTATCTGTTTATTTACTTTTTTATTTACTACTGGGTTGACACTGCACAAATAACCAAGAAAATCACAAAGTACATCAAGACTATTCCATCGGAAATCAGAAAAAATCCTATTAAGTAACCGAAAAAATGAATACCAAAATAGAAAGTTAAATATGGTGTGAGAACCCTCAACTCCCAATCATGGCTGCAGTAATCACTTCCACCGGATCTTATTGGTTAGTTTAAAACCTCCACATGAGATTTTCGATTACCATCATAAAACGAAAAATTATCGGAATGTCTTTTTTTGTAAATTAACGAGTTCAACAAATTAAAGAACTCAGAAGAAGTAGCAATGACGAACCTTCTTGCTTGGCTTTCTTCACTTCGGCCATAGCTGCACTGGCAGCAGACTTCAACTCGTCGGTTTTGTTCTTACGCAATTCCAAGATAGATGTTCTCTACAAAGAATCGAATAGTAATAAAATGGCAATTATTTACAAGGCCTCTCACTTCTCATTCTGCTCACCTCGTATATAAAATTTACATATTCGAATATCATGAGGAGTTTTGAAGCCTCAGTAACCTGCAGCGGAGGATAGTTTTCGTTATATAATTTTAACTTGGTCGCTGATCAATATGTTCTGCTTTCTTAACAGGTAATGAAGTTCGAAAATTCTTAGTACATTAGTTCATGACGGATGTACCTTTAAGATCGCCATCTATGGAAGTGGGCCAGTTTAATGCCTACAGTGCTAACGAAGGACAAAATCTTAAGTTCAAGAGTGAATGAAAGTCGTGCCCACAGCTTTCGTACCTACCCATACCTAGAGTTACCATAGCTTACCACGCCCGCGCAACAAATGTGTCTAATCAGTCCACCGGTATTGCCGGTGAGCGATACTAATCAAGTGTTTTAACACAGGCGTGGCGAGTGCCATTTCCACTGGGAGCTTGATATCTATATGTTTCTCTTCAATGGAGATAATTTTAATACAATTTATTTTATACGAACTTATTGCAGCTATCTATAGATCGTATCTAAATATCCTGATAAGGCAGACCTTCCATGCAGAAAACTCCGCCTACTGAGGTTACCCCACCCCCCGAAGGATGTGTCGCAGCAGGAAATGGAGGCCTGCGATCTCTATGGTACATTGTAGCAGGAAATAAATCGATACTGTCAATGTAAGTGAAATGGACAACAACTAACGTTGAATCATCTGATATCATGGGGTACCAACAGACAAAAATATGTCCAAATACCTAATTCTTTGCACCCTTTCTGCACGTTCTCTCATTCCAACTATGGAAAACGGACAGAATTTCGCGTTTTTCCACAGAGCTAGCTTTCACCTTCTCCAATAACGATCGCTCAAAAACCTACACGCTCATTTGCAATCATGTAGGCTTTCGAGAGTAGCTCTTTGAAGATCTTTCGAATATCTATCCCATCAATTAACATATTTGAACAAAGCGTCATATTAGCATTGGACGCAGATGGCTTTGTTACATATGAAGCTCATATCGACAACGGATGGATTATACAATTAGTGCGGGCCGCTTTGACGAGCTTCTCATTGAACAACAAGAAAAATTCATCCAGAAACTATTCGTTTTTGACAGCTCTATGGGCGGAAATATGAATGATCGACTGTGGTGAATGTAAGTTGTTCAATGACAATGAAAACCTACACTCAAATTAGCCGGTTCATCTCTATAAAATTGCAAAAGTCTAAACAAGCGCATTTAATTGTTAGATTTAATTTGAATGAAGGAAAACAGTGATGTTTAAAGCTATACCACAGCTTCGATCCAACCTATTGGTATTACTTAGCTACATTTAATTTATAGGTGGGCGGAGGTGGTTTTGTGGCAAGTGCGCACTATCTCACACGCATGGTCAGGGGTTCGAATCCCGGATCGGTATCCGCCTAAGCCAACCAAGCCTTCCATCNTCAGGGGCTGGTTTATTGGTACCAGATTCTTCTGGGAGAATGGAAGCCCTGACTTGTACATCGGCTGGCCACCGCAAGTCATTGTATAGGCCACATATGCACTCATTACGCCACTACGATACGCCATTGAATGGAAGTCGAGTGCGGGAGCGCATACCTCAGATGGGATTTATTAACTTTATCCTTTTAATTTATAGACAATTTGCAGAGGTTATTCAAGCACTAAATGTTTCTAAACAGCCTGATAGTCATAAACAGGTGGGGACGTCCGACTTGGACCGCGTTTGATACGGAATTCGATACAAGGAGTTATAGGGTGATGTAGCAGCGCCACCTGCCTCTACTTCACTTCCAATCATACGCCTCAGGGGAATAAATAATTTATATTAGAAAGCCTTGTAAGGCCGGCATTCGAGTTTTATAATTTTGTTCGAAATTCTGGAAACCAATTTTCAAAAAACTCACGCTTTTCTTGTGACGTTGCAGGGATTCGACAAGTTTCTCGTTCAATTCAGCTGCTGCCAGTGCTTGTAGAGACACCTGTTCCAACTCCTTCAACGTCTCTCTGATCATCTCCTCGTCGTTCTCTGAAGCATCATCAGCTTCAGAAAAGTCGCAATTGGCAGTCACAGTGATGCAGATGATTACCGTCCCCTTCCTCTGCTTTTTCGCCCTCCTTCTCGCTCGGTTTCTTCTCCATTTCTACGGATTCGTTTTTCTTCTCATCAGGTTTACCCATGGCTTCATTTTCCGCAGCCAAATCCTGGGTAGCTTGTTCATGAATGTCCTGAAATGTGCTGACAAACATATGAGAGACTTAAAAAATTGAAAATCAAAAGTTTGCTGACCACAATGTTCTTCAGAACTCCTAAGAAGGCAGTTTCTTGTGCTGTCATCATATCGAACGCATCGACAAGTTTGGCCATCAAAGCTCGATCTGGCTGAAATGAATTTTGAATAAAGAGAAAAGTCAAATATTTTGATTTCTCACAAACTTCACGAAATTTCTGTAATCTTAAGGGAGGGGGGGGGGGGTACTATGAGCTCAGTAATATTGACTGAGGAGTAAGAGGGTATCATTCCAAAAAGTACCCGAGCAGTTTTAGAACAGAATTCCAGTAAAGATGCGAAATTCAGTTTGGACAGGCTTTCCTGTAGGTGACCTATCTGAGCCATCTGTTGCCTGGTCAACATGAGCTGGGAAATGGACAGCGACGACAGTTACCATATCGTACTGCTAAATGCCACAAAGCCAGCACGGTACCCGGATAGCGCAAGTACGGGCTCGACTCCCGCCCGAAGCCGAAGTTTTGTCCACAACTCGCCAAGGTTGTGAGACTATCACTAAGCCTTCAAATCGTCCTAGTTTCAATCGAAATTTCTTGGAAATGAAGACACAATGTGGACCAAAAGGAGTTAAGACCCACCTCCATGGGAGTATATCAGCCTGAATCGATGTGTGCCCGGATGTACTCTGCATGCAAAGTGACTGATCACCGCTCGAACTCCCTCAGTTTCTTGTGCCCTTCGAAATCCTATCCCCACCTACTTTTTCAATGCGTTTTTCAACCATGTGACTTTCGAACCCGAGAAGTTTAAACCCTCGCTGGACCGCTTTCCTTCATATACCCAACGTCTGTCTCTCCAGGTAAAGGTGAACGGGGCTGAAATCTGTTGGCTCATGAGTGCGCTTTTTTGTAGAAGCCAACTGGATTTAAAAATTTATTTAGTGCTCGTAAAAAATTCCTATGAATAGGTTTAATTTCGCTTCTTTTTTAATTTTTAATTATTCATTTGTTTGTTCGTTGATTTTATTACCTTCATAGGTGTATTTATTTAGATGTAAGTTGTTGTAAATATGAAATTAGCGAAAATTTTGTCCGCCCTTCCGCAGAAAATCTTCTTCTCTCAATTTGCAGGTACGATTTTACTTCAATTTACCAATTTGTATTCTATGCATTCCACACTTCATTCCGATGCATTACCTCAGCCATTGGAAGTGGGCTTTGAGACAAACAGCACCGCAGAGCTGCAACAACACCATCTATTGACGCTGTTCGACAGTAAAGATGGGGGGCTACTGGAGATACTGTAACTTCAGTTTATTATTGTTGCTGTTAGAAATTCGAAACCTGAGCAAAAAATTGCTATTTGCGATTTTTCCAAGATTTCACTTCTCTCCTGTCCAAAAAATCAGGAACAGTTGGCAAGGATGTATAACAGTGATCATTCGAATTAAATTTTACATAGAAATGCAAAGAATTTTACTCAAAAGACAGGTTAAAGGCAATGAAATACTTGACTAAGATATGTAGGGTAATTTTATCGTAAACCCGAGTATCCTCCTCCCATCCTTATTGGTTGTAACTTATTTACTGCCATGTATTTTTCTTTTTAGTCCTCAATTCAAGAAATTAAGTTTTAGTCAATTTATCAAACAACCAGAGCCAGAAATGAAGCTCCGCATCGCAGAGTAGAAATTTGAATTCAACTTTTTTATAAAACAAAATTAGAATTTTTACAGAGCAACTGCACTTTCCAGCTCTTGAGGTCGTTTGATTACTGCCATAATT